CCTTCACCTGTTCAATTCAATTCCTACCACCCTGCAAAGTCCCATTCGAACCTTACCTCCTCCCCACTGATCTCCCCCAAATGGAAACGCTGCTTTGCCTCCAAGCCCCAGCCAGCTCTTTCCTTATATATGTCTCTAGGCCACTAATCAGGTGCCATTTTCAACATGATCGTTCTCTCTGGGTCTTACCCTAGGAGAGTCGGTCTCGTGGTGGCAAGCCTGATTGCAGTGTCAGAAGGATCGCAAGGCTTCCCAAGGTGTCCCACCTGACTGCTAGCTCCCTGCTTTGTTGGAAGGCTTCGGCATCCAGCGTGGGGGCAAGTTTGCCAGGGTGGGTGAAAGTGATTCATAGGAATGATTTCAGTGAATCTTCTACCTTCGCGAGGTCCGTGGCGGGAGCAAATGATGGTAGCTTGTGGCCTCTTCCCCTCATGTGAGATGCAAGACAATGGGGCTGTGGGCAGGGCAGACAGTTCAAGCAAATCTGTGTGGAGTCTCATCAGCGGAGTAAACGGAAGCACAATGCCAAAAGAGCAAGAGGTTCTTTCCCGCTGAGGGTCTTCACTGGAACTGGGGCTTTAGACATGGCCTGGTCCCGAATGAAGACCGGAAGTCCTAACGAGGCCAAAGTCACTGAGGTGCCCGGAGCAAGTCACATGATGTCTCAGAGACCCAGGCGACTCCCTGAGACTAACAGGCCAGGGAGGTGTGTGGGAAATCCCCATGGACTGGTTCTCAAAATGCCTACAGTCTACTGTGGGGGACACAAGTCACACACGGCTTGGGACTCAGCGACCCTTTCCTGGCATGACTGAAGGAGTGCAAACCAGTGTAGAACACAAAGGGTGAGGGGCTTTAGAGCAAAAGAGGGGTTAGGTGAGTGAGGTCAATTCAAAGGTCATGTGATCAGCTACCAGGCTGGGATGTGCCGGTCACTGGCCTGCTGCTGGGTAAGGTGAGGAAGTAAAACGAGGCACAGTCCCTGCCCTGAAGGGGCCTCCTGACAACCTGCGGGTCGAGTGTGGTGGGGGATAAGACATGTGCGTGTATGTATGTATAAGTACATGTATATATATATATATATAATCAGGTCTGTGACAGGTTCACAATCACACACTCTCTCCATGCTTAGCAGATGGACTTTGTGAGTGGTAGTAAAGTGAGACAGACAGACAGACACAGAGACATTAAGACAGAGTTAGAGACACAGACAGAGAGACAGAAAGGAAGAGAGACACACAGTGAGACAGAAAGAGACAGAGTCAAAGACAGAGAGAGAAGGAAAGAATAATCATTTTAGAAAACCTAGCAATAACACATCAGTCTGGACTAGCTTAGGGAAAAACGATGTTCCTGAGAAAACATGTCTTCTAAGTCCCCCTGTCTAGCCTTTGAGAGTTACTGTGGCCCTCACAGGTGCACACACATGTGGGCGGGCACATGCACACACACACACATGCTTCACTAGCCCCCTCCCCATACCTCCTCCCCCACCCTCCCATTACCCAAGGGCAGCTGCTCTGTTGTCCTCTCAGCAGGCGCCTTGAGTGTTCCTTCCACAGTAACCACACAGCTCATTGCTGGGCTGGTCCCTGAAGCCTTTCTCCAGCTTCATAGAACCTGTGAAAGCCTCGTCCTGGGGCATGGGCATCAAGGACCCCGCATTCCCCATCCCTTCTCCTCCTGTGCTGTTGCACAGACTAGGCTATGAGAAGAGTGTCCAGGCATGCTTGGCAAGTTGAGACGAAGTAGAAAGCCCCTGTGGCTGGGGGCATCAGAGTCAGAGGCAGTGGCCTATGTGACAGACAGTGCTGAATCTGAAGGTACAGGATCTGGTTTCAAATCCTGGTTCTGCCCCGTACGTTCTGTGTGGCCTTGGAAATATCACTTAACCTCTCTGGCCTCAGTTTCTTTGTCTGTGACACGAAAGAGCAGCACTGGATGACTATGACCCTATAGTCTCTAGGGTCCCTTTCAGCTTTGACATGCTCTCATCCATAATGGCTTCATAGAGGAGGTGGCATTTAAGCTCGATCTATGTTTTCTACGTCCCATTCTCCCTCCTCCACTACCAAAAACTTCAGCAGCGCCCTTCCAACAAACATGCACTCCAGGAAAACAAATCCTTGCATTGGCCATGCCCAAAAAATGCCTGTTGCACACTGCGCTCTGAGTCCCCAACCTCTGTCAAGAGGTGGGCAGCAGGCTTCATCATTGGGCTTCTGGAATCATGGCTGGTCGTTGCCTCAAGTTCTTCCAAAGCTGTTTGCCTTTGCAACCTCCTTTCTGTCCTGTCCACCATTCTCCTGGTTGCACTCACTCCCCTCTGCATTCCGGCACAATGCTATCCTATCACAAGCACATATCTTCACTTATTCAGCTATTCTCCAATGGACAGGCACCCTGTCAGAGGCCAGTTCTTTGCTCCCACGAAAGAAGCTGCTGTCAATTGATTGGTACCTATGGGTCTTTCCCCTCTTAGCCGGCAGATGGGGAAGACAGATTGGTCAGTGCATGAACTGACGGAGAGTATGGTGAGAAGTACCAACAGAATAATTTTTACAGTAATTTTACAATTGGTGGCTACCAAGGAGAATCCCACTGGCTTTGGGGCCAAGCTTTGCTTGCCAGAGGCCATGCCTGCTTTCCAGAAAGATCCCTCCCCATGTTGGCACTTGCTTCCTTTTCTGAAATCTTCTGATACCTGGAGCCTTCCATGAGCCACCCAGCCTCATTGTCACCTCCCTGTCTCTGATATCAGGAGTCAGAAAGCAGTCCAATGCAGCAGATCAAGGCCCTGTAAAGATCAAGGCCCTGGGCTGGATCGAGTCTCAGGGATGCTCCTAGGGGCAGACTATCCCAGGATGGGGTCAGCTTGTGGCATTACTTTGGGAAGGCTTGGGTGGCTATACAGTCCACTGTCTTCGGGTGGGTCAGGCATGTGGGGAAGGATTGGACTGCAGCCTCCGTTGCTAAGACAAGGTCCCAGCTGTCTCCCATCCAGTTCCGAGTGACCAGAGAGCGGGGGATGCTAAAGCTGATGAGAGGCTTCTCCATCTGGCAGCCATGGTGGTTATCTCTGTGCTGCTGTCTCTGCCTTCCCCTCCGATTTCCTCCCCCACACACGGCCTTTTAACTGTCTAACATTCACTTGGATGAAAGAAAATGTGCCCATAATAAAGACTGATTGCTCATAATTAATTATCAGTGGCTTGTGTGGCTCTGGTGAAGGCCTCCACATCACAGCAATAGACCGGGATGCCTGGGCACCAGAAGAGATCAGAGAGATCAGAGGAGCTCCCCTTTCTCTTGCAGTTCTGCAGCCTTCATGCAGGGTCCTTACTGGCATGGATGCTGCTTCCTCTCTTCCCAAAGAGTCATGGACTTTGAGAACTGAAAGGGAGAGCCATCCAGCAGCCCACCCCAGCCCCAGAGGAGGAGAACGTGCCTGGCAAATGGCCATCTAGCCCCTGTGTGGGGAGAAGTTTCACTGCCTTATTAAGATGAAGCCTCTGTGTGTGATCAAGTGGTGCTGAGGAAGCTGTTTTTCAGTACAAGATAATTGTTTGTGTGTTAGGATCCAGAAGACGACACATCAGTTGGTAAGTGCATGCAGACCCTCGGAGAGGACGGACCACCAAAGGAAGAAAAAACCTGATAAATATAATACTTTATCATCATCTTACGTGTCGAACGACCACTCCAGTGATGTATGTAGTGAACAAAGGAGAGCACGCGTGGACAGCACAAGGCGAAGGCCCTGGAGGCCCCAGCCAGCAGCCTGCTGCCAGGGCCAATCTGAGACACACCCGAGCTTTGAGCAGCCAGTGTTTGCTTGTGGGCTGGGCAGATGTAGGGAGACTTGCTGGCCCCCCACTTCGGGGGGGAGACACATGGCCTCTGTTTGGGCAGAGGGTACCTTGCCATGACCACCCGTGGAAAAGACACTTACTGTGACTTCTAGGAAGCAGGCTAATGGTTCCTTCTGAGACTTGGCTGTTCTTCATATGGTTTGCTCTATTTCACTAATAAAGCTGGATTGCACGTGTGGAGAGGTTTCAGTGTTTAGTCATCGAGGAAAGGGTGTAAGTGAGCAGTGTTTCTGCCTTAAAGGTAAATTGGCTAGAAGCATGCATCATGCATCCCACCCGGCTTGAAAACTTCCAGTGTGCAGGAACTAGCCAGTTCCAGGGACCACCCCTTCCACTCCCATGGAGGCCAAATTCCCCCCTGCAATTTCCAGCCATCCCGCCTGCTTGACTCCCTGGGTCAAAGGAAACAAGGGTCATTCTTCTCCCACAAGCCAGCCCTCCAATGAGAGCTGCCCACCCTCCCCTGGAAGAGGGTGAGCAGGTCACAATGCTTCACCTTTCTCCGGGGTCACTGTCCCCATCTGCCCAAGACAGAGCTTCAGGCCCTTACCCACCCTGTTTTGGTCCTGCGTGGACTCTGGCCAGCTCACCAAGCCCCTTCCCTCTCTGTCCCTCTTGTGCATCCCCATGGATCTTTGCTGTTCCCCTTCTTCTCCCTCACCCCCTTTCTCTCTCTGTGTGTGTGTGTGTGTGTGTGTGTGTGTGTTGTGTCTGTGTCTGTGTCGGCCTTGGGGAGGAAGTGAGAGCCTAGCAGTCTCTAACACTGTTTCAGGGGAATAACCAGAGAGGTGTAGCTGGGCATGCTGGGCCACAGGAGAGGCCTCTCCAGAGGACCACTGTTGGAGCGCCCTTCTCCATCTGCCAGGTGCCTACGTGGGCTGAAAGAAAACTCCTTGAGGGCAGGGACTGCTTGAGCTTTGCCCGTGGGTCCCCAACGATTAGCACAGTGCCTGGCACAGAGAGGGTGCAGCCTACTCCCTCCCTGTTGTTCTGAAATGAAGGCAACGATAAATTAACTTCACAAACTTTTTTTATTCTTTTTTCTGCTTTCACTTTAACAATATATATTCTTCTGTTGTGGAATCTCAAAACTATCTTAAATATATATGTATATATATATATTTTTTTCCACTTCATAAACTGCAGAAGGGAGACTCTGAGAAGAGTCCCAGGAGAATCCAGACTCCTTTAATACCTGCAACAAGATGAGAGCAAAAAGCTTAGGCAAGTGGTAGTTGTCAGAAAGTCCAACTCTAGAACCGCAGAAACCATATAAAAAACATCACAGACACAACATAGGACAGACACCTACATGACCATCTAGACGTGACAACAAACACATGACAAATGGGAGAAAGATCACTTTTGTCTTTCTTCTTTTCCTGTTTGTATATCTAGCACTAAGTGAAACAGGAAAGAGTTTTAGGAACCTGGAGAAATTCTGGCCTGGCTCTAGGGATGGCTGCAGCTAGAAGGGGGCAGGGCAGGAACCACATTCCACCTTCCGTGGAAGGAAATTCTCAAGTTCCAAAAGAGTCAGCTTTAGGAGACGTCGGCAGGAAATCTCAGGCAAGATGGCCGCTTGGGGTCTCCTATGGGTGGAAGCCCTCTTGGTTTTCACCTGCATTTTTACCTACGCCTGGGCTCAGAGTGAAGGCATTTGGGAGAAGAGGGAGGGCAGGCTCCCGTGGTGCTCATGGCAATACTGCTGGAGAGCGACAGGAGTCAGGATTGACAGCCCCAGCTTCCTCTCCAGGCAGGGATGCTGAGCCAGGAACAGAGGCACACAGAGACACAGAGACATACAGAGACACACGAGACACACACACAGAGACACACAGCCACGTGGAGCTCAGGCCCTTACTTAGCATGGGGAAATGGGAAGGTGCTGACCACGTTTCCACTCTCGTTGGCAATGGCCTCGTAAATCCACTTCCGGTTGCGGCGGCAGGTGGGCCCACACTTGGTGGACTGGCACTCTGGGCATGGGTAGAAGCAGCCCAGGCAATCTTCTTCCAGGCAGTCACAGAGGTCTTCTCCATTCAGATTCAGCCTGCCTCTCTGGTCATACTTCTGCATCCCTTTCTTGCCTCGTGGGAGCTTCACAGGTGGTTGAGCTGAGTGGGGACCAGCTTGGTCATAGGGTCCGGCTTGGTCGGCAAGGCCCCAGGGGCGAGCTTGGCCACAGCGGCCACTATTGCCACGGGGGCCCACTGCAGGGCGCTTGGCTTTTACCTCCCCGCCGGTCGGCTTCTTCTTCTGGACTTTTGCTTTCTTCTTCGCCTGAGCTCTGATCTGATGCTCCCCTTTAACCACCTGCTTCTTGGCCTGCTTCTTCTGCTTCATCATGAGGCGTGCCGATTTCCTCACAGCCACATCCTCCTTTTTCTTACACACTTGAGAACGGGTAATCATTTTCGGTCACTGGAAGGCAGCTTCTCTTGCTGCCTCGAGCTCTCTTGGAAGTGGCTGGGGGACCTTGGGAAGGACAGCAGGCACATAGGGTCACTAGAGGCGAGTGTATGTATACTGGTATGGAGGGACATTGGATTCAGGGACCGAGGAAGCTCAGAGGCTGAGGGCACTGTCCAGGCATGGAGCCTGGGCTGGGCCTCTGCAAACGGGGAGTTCCTTGACCACCTCTCCAAAGGAGGGAGAGGGAGGATGGGAGAAACCAGACTGAGGAGGTCACCTGAAAGGAAGAGCCAGGCCTGGCAAAGGCCACATCTCCTCTCTCTCCTTTGTTTGTTCTTTCCCCGCTCCCCAATTCTCATTCCCCGACCTGACTTCAGCTCTGTACCAGGACCATCAAAGCAGCTGACACTAAGGCCTGAATGGGGTCCCCTGTCCTCTCCACAAATCTCCTCTTGGTTTGGGTCTGGCTATCCCCCCCGTTGCCCTGGCTCCCTGGTTTCGGCCAGCCATTCTCCCAGCCCTGGGTGGAAAGGCCAGCCTACTGCTGCTTCCTCCTCCTCCTCTTCCTCTATTTCCACGTTACTCCAACCCTTCTAGGCCATCACGTGGGCCATCGCTGCTGCTCTTGTGGAAGCCCTGCTCTGTGGACTACCAGCTCTCCTCTATCCTTGACCTTTTCAAACAACATTTCTTCCACCCCCTTCACTGTAAGGGAAACCTTAGCCGTCACAGCTGGGTGGGGGTAACCATGCTTTCTCTGGAGCAAGGCAGGAGGAGGTGGGGAGAAAGCCTACCCTGGGAGCCCCCTCCCCAGCCCCCCCCAGCTTGTCTCCTACTGAAAGCGGAGGCATGGGGCTGGGGCGGGGCCTTCAGTGGATGAAGCTACTCAGCCTTCATTGTCATGGGGTGGAGGAGGGCAGGAAAGACCTGGTCTCCTAGAAGAGAGGCCAAAGGAGATGAAGAGGCAGTTTTCCGATAAAGCAATGGAAGCTCTCCAGGCAGGCTGGGCTGTGATGTCCTTGTCCAGGGGAGAAAACTCCCCCTTACTCCTCCGTCTGGAGGCGGGTACGTTCTGTGGACTTAGAGTCTTAGAGATCTGCTTAGAGCAGAGGTCGAACAGTCCCCTGAGGTGGGGCAAGCCCAAAGCAGATTCAAATGGAATTGGGAAATGCTGAGCAGAATAAACAACAAACTTCAAAGTAGATGATGCTCATTTCTGCCTTTCTAAGTCAATTTGGCCCTCAGGGAACCTTTTCTATTGGAGGTTGAGGCCCCTGGCCTGGGGCCTCCTGAAAGGTGGTAGCTTGCCCAAGGCCTGACTTGCCAACATGTGGATTGGGGCTTTGAGGCCAGACTGATTTATCATAAGGGAGGGCTTGTACTCAGAAATGGGGCGATGGATGGGGGTGATAACAAATGGGGGAAACAGTCTATTTCTTCATCGAAATTAACTTAAGTGCACGTGGTCAGACAGCAGGTTTACACGGTGTGTGCAATCCTATAGGTCTGTACAAGCCGGTGTTTCCATTAGGGGAGTGAAGGGGGAATGGTGGGTTATCACCTGACAAAAAAAGAGCACGTTTCATTTAAATGTCCAGCTGGGGAAAGAAAATGTGCAGAGGGATGGGCAGGGCCATTTTGTCACTGCTTGGTTAAACACAACATCTCTTCCTTCCAAAACACCAGCATTTAACACAGCTATGAGTTCAGAGCCGGCCTCAGGCACTTGCCAGCCGTGGGACCCAGGGCAAGCCGTGTCACCTGTCTGCCTCAGTTTGCTCAACTGTAAAATGGGGGTAAGAACAGAACCTGCCTCCCAGGGCTGTGGTGAAGCTCAAATGAGCGACTTCCAAAGGACTTTAGCATAGCGCTTGGCCCCCTGTAGGTGGGAAGAAAGGCTGCTTTCCTTCCCTTCCTCCTTCCCCTGGGTTTTGTGATGGTTCAGTCCACAGGAACAGAAAGACCTGAAAGCTTTCCAAAGGGGAGGCTGAAAGCAAGGCTCCCTAACTTGACACTTTGGGATCTAACTCCTAAGTGCAAGTTAGCATTTCCTTCCTCTTTGAGTGAAAACCAAGATGATCCTGAGAGGGGAGTCTTGGGCCTCGCCAGACTGGCCCTGGGGTACGAGGCCCAAAAATGGCTAAGAAGGCCTGCCAGGGCCCAGTGATCAGGGAGACCCTCCCTCTCTGGAGAAAGGCCGCACCCCTTTCATCTGGGCCTTCACTGAGAATCCTCAGATGCTGACTGAGCCCTCCAGAGGCCACTGAGCAGGGGCAGGGCTGGGCAGAGAGGCTCAGAGATAGAAGCCCCTGCCTCTGGGGCAAGGACAGGAGCTGGGCTCAGACTGGGACTGTCCCCAGGGCTCCTACAAAACAGAGAGCTCTCTAGGGGAGTGAGGGAGAGGAGGAAGGCCTGGGCAGGACAGTACGCTGAGTGGCTACAGACACCAGGGGCCCTGGCCCCCAGGGGTCTTGCCACCCACCGCATCTGGGCTTTCACTGGTAGGGGTAACTTGCCTTGGAGTCTTCTGCCAGCTAAGTCTTTGTCTTGGACAAACCTGGAACAAAAACAGACACGGGTATAAATGAGTGGCATTTCTGCCAAGCCAAGAGAGCCACAAGAGGGCCTCCCCTGCCCTAGGGTGGTTCCCAGCCTGAGAGAGCACAGAGGGGCCCGGCCACGAGCGCACTCTCTTTGCCGACTGCAAAATCCGCACGTAGACGGTTCCTACTCTGTGCCAGGCACTGGGCGAGGTAGGTCCTGGGAGCCAAAAGAGAAGAAAAAACCGTCCTGGCCTTCAGGGAGCTTACATGATGCTGGGGATACCACCTGCCCTCGCCTGAGGGAAGAGAAAACCGATGTCCTCAGAAGGCGTGACTGAGTCAAATGTTCAGCTCCCAGATGTCCATTTAAGGCAAGTGCTGAGGCATGAATTCTTTGGGCTCTAAGGTTCCACTTCGGTCAGTTAGAGATCCACCGAGTCCTACCAATTCATTTTCTAGAAGGGGAAACTGAGGCTCTGAGAGGCTAAATGCTATCCTTGATCTCATAAAGTTCATTCATTGCAGGACTGGGGCCAGAACCCAGATTTCCTGATTCTCACTTCAATGTTCTGTCTGCCTTTGACTGGGCACATTGAGAGGAAGGGGTTTAGGTCTGGGGGAGGACGATCAGCCTGTCTCTTTCTGCCCTAGTCCTGGACGGATGGACTCTCTGCAGGACTCTTTGTAGAGTGCAGCTAGGTGGTGCAGTGGATAGAGCACCGGCCTTGAAGTCAGGAAGCACCTGAGTTCAAATCGCACCTCACACCAAAAGCTTGACATTTACTAGCTGTGTGACCCTGGGCAAGTCACTTAATCCCAATTGCCAAAAAAAAAAAAAGACCCTTTGTGCAGTCTAAGGGCCCAGCAGGTACACGGCCATTTTAGGGGGCTCTTGGCAGGAAGTCAATGGGAATAGGTGGCTGAGGGGAGGAGTGAGCCCCCAGGCAGCAGCTAGGGCCTCCCCTCCTGGCCAGCAATACACACAGGGTCACCTACCTCAGTGGGCCACCTCTCTCAAGCCAAGCCCTAGGGAAATCAGGGGGTCTCTTTACCTACTTCCTCATTCATCAATAAATAACATTTCCACCTATTTTTCCATAATTCACCTAAATGCAGAACCCTCAGCCCTTCATGAAGTATCATTTATATAACAATGGAATAAAATAATAATCACATAATATGTCATATTATATTAAATCATCCCCTATTGAATGCCCTGCAGAAACCACCCCTCCCCATTTCTGATTGGACAAAGGCCCCCAGGGCCAAGTAGTAAAGGCCTCAGCAGGCCCAAGAGGCCCGAGGCAGCACCTCGCACTCAGACCCCTGAGGAAACACAGCCATAGTGGCTTCAGTGCCTCCAGAAGCTCCTTCTGGGGCCCTGCCCCCCCACACCCCAGACCCTTGGCCCTCCCACTTAGAGGATGGAGAAGGATCAGAAATGAGGCCTACCTCTCTCAGGAGACCCTCAGACACACCCTGCCTCCAGGTCTCCCAAGGACAGAAAGGAAGGAGCCTGCTCTGCCCCTAGGGATGAAGGGATGCAGGTCAAGGCACAGGAAGGGGCGGAGAGAGTGGGAGGGGAGGGTCAGAGGGGCACCCACAGGGAGGGAGAGGAGCACAGGGGGAGAAGCAGAGAGGCCCAGAGGTGCTGCTCTGCCCCCTAGGGATAAAGGGATGCAGTTGAAGGCACAGGAAGGGGCAGAGAGAGGGGGAGGGGAGGGCCAGAGGGGCACCCACAGGGAGGGAGAGGAGCAGAGGGGGAGGAGCTGAGAGGGCCTGGGGTGCTGCCCTGCTCCCTAGGGATAAGGGGATGCAGGAGAGGGAACGGGAAAGTGCAGAGAGAGGGGGAGGGGAGGGCCAGAGGGGCACCCACAGGGAGGGAGAGGAGCAGAGGGGGAGGAGCAGACAGGGCCTGAGGAGCTGCTCTGCCCCTTGCAGGGCCAAGACAGAGTTAGGGCTGGAAGGGGCCTCCCAAGGTCATCTAGGAAAGCTGCCCCCTTTTACAGGGGAGGGCTAATGCTTGCTCAGCATGCCCAAGGTAGCAGGATGAATATTGGCATTCTCCAGCTTTGATTTTGATGGCCTCCCCCTAACCCTCTTTACAACTGGAGAAACTGAGGCCCAAGGTTGTGGGCAGCTTGTCCACTGTGGTCCCTTCTTACAAAAGGTGAAACTGAGCCCCAGCGACCCCAGAGGTGCCCTGTGAGGTGTAGAGCCATTTTATCCAAGTGGAAACTGAGGTCCAGAGATGTCTGGCACTTCCCCAGTCACAAGCCCAACCAGAAGCTTGCTGGACTCCCAGGCTCTTGGGGGGCGGGGGTGGGGGTTTGTCGTTAACTCAACAGGACGTCTGTGTGTTGCTGGCCTGGGTGGGGGGAGGGACAGGGCAGAAGAAGCAGAATGCCAGTCCAGCTGTAAGCTCTGTAACCCTCCTTGGTGTTTGACCCGGTAGTGCCTGCCAGAAAAGAGCCCGACATCCTAAGGGTGAGCGGCATGGGGGAAGCAGAGGAGGGAGAAG